GCGTCAGCATCCCTCGCTTGCACATGCCCAAACCATCTTAGTCTCGCTTCCCTCATCTTGTCCGCTATAGAGAGGTCACTCCCACCTTCTTCCGGATGACCTCATTCCTAATCTTGTCACTCCTAGTATGTCCACACATCCATATATATCAACAATACCCTTATATCCGCAATATGCTGAACATGTGAGTTCTTGATTGGCCAACACTCTACTCCATACAACAAGGTCGGTCTAACCATCATTGTGTCGAACTTACCTTCAAGTTTAGGTGGTACCTTCTAAACACACAAGACTCTATAGAGGCAAGCCTCCATTTCATCAATGCTGTCCCAATGCGATATGTGACATCATCTCCAATGTCAAACTTATTATATACGAATATTACTTGTCATTCTAATAAAGAATTTATAATGTTAACAAATAGAGTAAAGAATTGGAAAAAAAGATTGCTTACAAATTCATTATCAAGTTAATTTTATGAAAATTAGAAAAGAAAGTAATTTTTCGAGTGATAGTTATTTTTAGGGTTAGTCTAGATTTTCTGTTTAGCAATGATCGTTTAATTAGTTCATTCCGCAATCTGCATGAAACCAACAATGACGGAATACAATGACAAATTCTCGATTTCATCTTATTTAAGATATTTCCGTTCAAATTCATTCATTCAGATACTAATGAGGTGAACGATAAGGATATATCAAACTTATAATATATGAATATTCTTATCATTCTATTAAAGAATTTATAGTATTAACAAACATACATATATAGAGAATCTGGAAGAGATTGCTCTCAAATTTATCACCGAACATTAATTTTAAATATAAGGAAGCGATTTCTCAAGTGATAGTTATTTTTTAGGATTAGTCTGATAGTCCTTTCTAGCAATGGTCGTTTAGTTCATGGTCCACTCCACCAATCTGTGTGGAGCTAACAATTGGATAGGACAATAACAAATCATTAACTTTGTCTTGTCTAAAATGCTCCTCCTTGAATACTTCCCTCTAAATTAGGGTTGTTTAAAATCGAACTGAAATCAATAATCCAAACTAAATAAAAGTCATTGATAATGGCTTATTGATTTAGTGGTTTCAATAATAATTTTGATTAATTTTAATACTGGATTATAGATCTTTAATGGTTTGAGGGGTTTTTAACAGGTTAACCAATTGTAAATTAATAAATTTACATTAAAACATGTAACACTCCGCCCTTTCGGAATGTTTAAATTAATGACTAAGAGTGATTATCAAGTTAAGAAGGATGTGGTATGACGTATTTTAATTGATCAATAGTTGTATTTTATGTTTTGAAGTTAAGTGAGTTGCAAAATAAAAGTCAGGAAAAGTTATCATAAGTTGCGTCAAGAAGTTCTCTGAAAATTGGATCAAATGTCTTGGAACTTTTATCCGAATCAATAAAGAGTTTGGGGGACCACAACCTATCAAATCTATCCATACGACTTCATAATAGAGAGATATTCACATTTTTGTGAGAATGTAAGGGCCTAACATCAATTCCAAGCTGCTGTAGCGCCTCGACTATGTAATCTCTTTTCAGATCCAATGATGCCTGTGGAGCTGTTGTGGCGGGGAACGCCCTTAATTGTGATGTTTGCTGCTCACTAGAGTTCGTGAGTGCACCAGAAGAAGGAAATGAGGCGTGTTGGAATGTATGCGTCCACTAGTCTATATGAGACCAGGTCCTCAATACAGTTACAATAACAGAAAATAAACAAAGTGCTGAAAGTAAAGATTGCACAACAACTTACATGGAAACCTCCTTGCTCAAGGGAGTAAAACCACGACCTGGCCTGCTAGGACTTTTCAAACTGCTTCCACTAATCTTCTCTAAGCAAAAACAAAAGTAAAAGTCAATTTACAAAATGAGATTAGCCTACTAATCTCGACACTAAGCAATACCTCCTATTACTTAGATGAGCCATAGCAGATACAACACTGCCCACTAAGCTATCACCCCTAGATAACTTAGACTTTTCTAAGCGGATACCACACCGCCTACTAAATCAACTAGCTCCTAGATGATTTAGACTTTGACTAAGCATATATAACACTGTCCATTATACTAATCCTAACCGATTAATATAGACTTTAGAGTAAGAAGCTAAGTTACCTTAAACCTAGTTCTTAAATTGATTCACACAAGTTTGAAACGTTTCTTTTACAAGTGAAATGAATCCTACAATATAAACACTATTACAAGCAAACAAAGTAACAGCTAGTACAGAAATCACTTGAAGCAATCGATCAGGTCCCTGCTGTTTTGAAGCTTGAAATATCTCTCTCTTTGAATAAATGAATAACTTGTTGTTTTTCCTTGGATATATTTAGACATGAAAAGTTATTATCCAATGAATAAGCAACATCGTCGCTTCTGATTGGTGGAGTACTCTGCAGCTTCACCAATTTTTGGACGCAGACAACTTTCCAGCTGTACAACACTTTGACCACGAGTATTCATACTCTGCAGAGGACCAGGTCCCTGCACTTGTGAGGAGATCATCAAAACATCTAGGAACATAAGCACTTATCAAGGCGAGAGCTATACCTTCTAGAACCGGAGCAGTACAAGTAGACACATAAGGTGGGCCCAAGGTTGGTGGAAGATGTATTTGCTTTTGAGTAAGATGCAATCTGTCAACTTATGTGCATGATTCACTTAGTTTGTCATCTTGTTTCGAAGTGATTCTCAATGATTCTTTTAATGTGAAATCTTAATGGTCAAACCGATAAATTGATATCTTAATGATTTTATAACAATTTAGTATTCTACAAACCAATAACCAATAAACTTCAAAATCGAACCAAATCGACCGATATGCAACCCTAATACTACAAATACCAATGAGGTAAGCGTTGAGGATAAAACCGAACTTATTATATACAAATATACCTTATCATTCTAATAAAGATTTTATAATGCATGTTAACAATTATGCATATGAAGAAAATCTAGAACAAGAGATTGATCCCAAATTTATTATCTAGCTAATTTTCAGAAAGTAAGAAAAGGACGCGATTTCTCGAGTGATAGTAATTTTTTGGGTTAGTCTGACCATCCTTTTTAGCAATGATCATATAATTAATTCATGATCTATTCCACAATCTGCATGAAGCCAACAATTGCAGAGGATAATGAAAAAATTTCAATTTAATTTTGTTTAAGATAGTGTCTTCTCAGATTCTTCCCTCCAAATATTGATGAGGTGAATGATAAAAGAAAATGTTAAACTTATTATATATGAATATTCTTATCATTCAATTTTTTATTTATAATGTTAACAATTATACATATGTAGAGAATCTAGAAGAAAATATTGCTTCCAATCTTCTCTTGAATCATTTACTTTGAGAGAATTTTTTATTCAAAAAAACTTATTCGGATCCATTATAGAGACGAGATGGAGTTGCTTGGATGGTAAGCACCCTCACTTCCAACCTGAAGGTTGCGAGTTCGAGTCACCAAGGGAGCAAAAGGGGTGGGAGCTCCTAGGGAGGGTAAAAAAAGAAGAAGATCCATTATAGAAATAATATTAAAGATACATATTTCTAATATGAAGTTTTGCATAGCAATTAATTTACTTTCTATACACGTCTTTAGAGAATTCATTAGAATCAAGTTTTTGTCTTCGAAGTATTTGACAATTTTTCAGTAAATCTAATATGAAGTTTTGCATAGCAATTAATTTTTTTTTTATGAATTAGATGATCTTACAATTGTTTCTCTTTACTTTTATTGTGTTGTTTTGACTTTCCTGTTGTTGTTCGTGTTGTTGTTGAGTTGCTTGTGATCTCGCTTTTTTGAGCTTGCATATTAAGTTAGGATTCCTAGAAGCCTGAAGTTGGAGGAGGCTGAAAAGTAACTAAAGTCGGTCACTCACCCTATCATTTTGTGTCTCAATCAATTTTTTCTTGTCTACAAATCTTCAATTGGCTTTTGAAACTTTGAAAGCGGCAAACAATGCAGTAATGGAAGAGATAGGACCACTCATTTTCCTTTGTGGGTGTCCTCCTATATATCTAGTAGTAGTGATATACTGTTAAGGAATATTATTAGTTTATATTTAAAAATATGTCATAATTTTCAATCTGTTCAAACTTTAATAAACAAAATAATCCAGTTTCTCAATTAGTGAGAGGTAAGATACCTCGTTGAATTAATCGACATGCATGCAAGTAGAGATGGAGCTAAAGTATAGGTTACGAGTTCGGTCAAACTTAATAGTTTTAGTCCAATTTGGTATTTGTTTTAAGATATTCATTACATATATATAAATTATTTATTTAGAATCTAGTAACTTAAATGAACTAGATTCCAAACACATAAAATTTCAATTAATCCAAGCTCCTCATCTACCCGCAAGTTACTCTGAACACCGTGATTATAATAAATAAAATAACAATATAAGTCATGGAAACAATGCATAAATGTATTTTGGGTATACAAAGAAATGAACATCCTAATAATATTCCAACCTCTAATGCATGGTACAAATTAACCAAACCACTTATATATACTTGCGTACCTTAGATCGAAAGACACAAATTAGAATATAATATTTTTGTAGTTATTGTCCCTTTGAGAATGTTATATCATGTTTTTAATATTTTACTATGCTTTTCTTGAGCCAAATCTATCAGAAATAGTCTTTCTATCTATCAAGACATGGGTATGTATGATATGCATACACACTATACTCCCTAAACCCCTTTAGTGAACCTACACGACGCAAATCAAGATTAGTTCTCAATGACACTGGTTCTCATGATAGACAGTGCGGCTCTAAGAATCACGTTCCTTGGACAGCCTACTAACAACAAGATTGAAGCAAAAACATGTATTAGAGCATAGATTCAAGGTTTGATGAGCTATTAAATCTTTTTCAACAACAAAAAAAGATGTAGAAACACTGTTTCCCATGGCAACTGATAATATTACAAGTTCAAAATCTTCTTTTCTTCAATCTGGAGACATCAGATTCAGCTTCGACATTTTTCATTTGCGTAGCTTCTCCTCTCCCTTCGCGATGCTTCCTTTTTGTCAGTACTTTCACCACTGTGAAGCTCGGAAAATCTACCATCAGCCCTCTCCTGATGATCTAAATTCTCAACTCTCAGCCTATTAGTTCTAGTAAATACCTGATCAGGTGGACTTCTTCTGCTAGAAAGAAACCTCGGATGCCCATGCTCTTGTACAACATCCACATCACTCATATCATTCAGACAACAAGCAGTATAAGATGGAGAGCTAGAATCACGCCTTTGAGGAGCTATTGCTTCTTCAGTAAAAGAAGTTCGTGGAGAAGACCTAATTCTATCTTCTCTGTACATAACCCGAGACCCGCACTGAGATGAATCTTGATGACCATTGAATCTTTCTGTCCATCTCATCCAAGGAGGGGACCAAGTACGGGATCTAACAGGAGGTGCAGTTGGATGTCTAAATGAATGCAACGCATCATAGTCATTACGTTCATTTGCAGATTTCCAAACAGCAGCTGTACGATTATGTCTAAAGCGATAATCAGCTACACCTCGATAGCTTTCAAAATCACGCCCAGAATACCAATCTCTACCTAATCTGTGAAACCAACCACCGCCACGGCCCCAGCCCCTGCCCCTCCCTCTTCCACGCATGAAGTTCCCCCTTGAGCTACCAAATGAACGGTCCTGGAACCTATCTCGCACATCCTGGATGTTCTCTCTTTCATCTCTGGAAAAACTGCAGTAAGAAAAAGTCAAGAGTTGAACAACATTATAAAAAAAGTTACAAATCAAACAACAATAAATTAAAAAAAATCACCTATTCCTTTGTAGATGGAATTCCTCTTCCTCCATATACCAATACCTGAGGTAAGCAGGTGTTTCAGCATTTTGCAAAGATGAAAGGGCTATTGGTGACATATCAGATCTTCCAATATACTCGTTATTAGCCTCGCCATCATTCCTGACAGCTCCTCTGCTCCCAGCAGATGGCCCGACACATAAGACATCCTTTTCACATCCCTCCTGCACATCTGCTATTCCTAATTGATCAACTGATCCTTGGTAAATAGCGGCAATAGGTCTCTGCTCATCAGCAATTAGGTCTTCTGCAATCGACTGCATCATTGGTTCTCGGATCTCACCGTCTTCATATACATCGTCCTCTCTGACACGTCCCGCAAAAGTATGAGGACTATCAAAGTTATAGTCAAAACCATGACATTCTTTAGCAGCAATATCAGCATTTGCCTGATCTAGAGAATTTTTTGCAGCAATATCAGACGGAGTAGATAAGTCCCCACCACTCACATCTGATGTCATGGATATTTCTTGAATCGGTTCACATTTCATTGGTTTTAGCTCAAGTAATTCCTTAGTTGACAACTCAATAGACCGCAGATTCTGCCTTACAACCTCAGTTTTTACTACATTAGCCTCAAATGTTCCAGCTGGACGAACCGCAGTTCTAGCATTAGCTTGTACCAAGGTTTCTACAACAGGTTCTGACTCAACAGTTCTACGAGTAGGGGAGTTCATGTTTCTATCATATGCCCGATTTTTCAACAAACTTGAATTTGGACTAACACTGTTGGAGTCTACTTTAGCCAATGAGTCAAATCCTCGTAATGTACTACCAAGACTATGACGAAGCACATTTGCAGGCTTGTATCGTAGTCTAGGATGTATTGATGAGATGGGAAAATTAAATTCTTGCTCACTAGTTCCAATAACAGAAGCAGAACTAATAGGTGGCTTGCTGTCTACTGAACTAGGTGTCTTGCGTAACAGATCAATTTGACTTGCATCTTCAACAGGAACAACATCTTTGGTCTTGGATTCATTTTCATTAGAAAATGAGCGTTCAGGCCGGATAGGAAGAAGAGAGGAAGAGTTACTAGACTGTCGGGCAAGAACTCCAGGCTGCAAATATATGATGAAATAGAGTTATTAAAAAACAAAGCAAGTAGTACATACTTAAATCAATTTTCAACAGCAAATAAGAAATCAGATTGAGACCTCTTTGTTCCCGGAAACTGGCATGATTCTAGTATCAACTAAAGCTTCTCTTTTCATCTTGAGACGATATCAATCAAGTCGGAGAACACAGCTGAAACACTAGAATACACTCTACTAGTAGCACCCTGAAACCAAATATGCCAAAATATCAGTACAATACAAAAGAAGAGAAACAGAACACTCAAAAAGTGATACCCCCACCCTACCCCACATATAACCCCCCCCCCACTCACATATATATAGGAAGACAGTCAAATAGTCCAAAATCTAATCAATTTCTATAAAACTCCATATCAAAAATCCAATATTTGTCACTCATCAGACCCTATATCAGGTAACAACAAAACCAATATTTATCACTCATCAGATCCTATATCAGGTAAAAATCCAAAAATTCAAGAATAAAAAACAAAACACATCAAAAACACCCCACCCCCCAAAAAAGGAATAATCTAAAAGACTAGTTTACCATCAACAACTAACAGGTTTCGACCATCAAACCACTTGACATAAATTACTGGAAAATCATCAGAATTCTGCAAAATAGACAGAAAAATCCTACCTTTACCAGTAAATTCACTAGTTTCGGATTGAGGCACAGTTGATTGATTGAACATATATAGGCCCAACCATCCAGTTCTTCTTTCTGCATAAAGGAAACAAAATTGATCAACACACATGATATAAAGGCAGTCAAATAGTCTAAAATCTAAATCTAAAACTTCAAGAATAAAAAACAAAACTATACCTGAAAAAAAACATCAAAAACACACCAAAAATAGGAACAATTAAACAGCACACAGATATATATATATGTAGGAAACAAATGAGAACCTTTTTCTCTGTGCTTAGACAACAAAAAGAGTATTGAATTTTCTAGTGTGGCTTCCTTTTAGTATAATGTGGGATAATTTTTCTTACATATATATATAAATCCTAGTTATGGTTTGTAGAAAATCTAAAAGAGATACTTACCAAATTTGTCATTGAGCGTTAGTTCTAAGGTTAGCTTGTTAATCTTTTCTAGCAATGATTGTTTAGTTATGGTAACAATTGAATGAAATAACAACAAATATTAATTTTGTTTTGTCTATGATGCTTCTCATTAAATTCTTCCTTCTAGATATCTAATAAGGTGTAAGAAAGAACAAAAAGAAACAATATTTTTTCGGCCTATCCCTACCATTTTACCTCTCGCACCTCCTCATTGGAGCGTCAGCGTCCCTCGTTTGCACATGCCCAAACCATCTCACTCTCGCTTCCCTCATCTTGTCTGCTATAGAGAGGTCACTCCCACCTTCTCCCGGATGACCTCATTCCTAATCTTGTCACTCCTAGTATGCCCACACATCCATATATATCAACAATACCCTTATATCCGCAATATGCTGAACATGTGAGTTCTTGATTGGCCAACACTCTACTCCATACAATAAGGACGGTCTAACCGTCATTCTGTAGAACTTACCTTCAAGTTTAGGTTGTACCTTCTTAACTCACAAGACGCCAAAGGCAAGCCTCCATTTCATCAATGTTATCCTAATGCTATATGTGACATCATCTCCAATGTCAAACTTATTGTATACGAATATTACTTGTCATTCTAATAAAGAATTCATAATGTTAACAAATACAGTAAATAATTTGGAAGAAAGGATTGCTTACAAATTCATTATCAAGTTAATTTTATGAAAATCAGAAAAGAAAGTTATTTTTCGAGTGAGTTATTTTTAGAGCTAGTCTACATTTTCTGTTTAGCAACGATAGTTTAATTAGTTCATTCCACAATCTACATGAAACCAACAATGACGTGATACAATGACAAATTCCTCGATTTCATCTTATTTAAGATATTTCCGTTCAAATTCATTCATTCAGATACTAATGAGGTGAACGGTAAGGACATATCAAACTTATAATATATGAATATTCTTATCATTCTATTAAAGAAATTATAGTGTTAACGAACATTCATTTATTGAGAATCTGGAAGATATTGCTCTCAAATTTATCAACGCACATTAATTTTACATATAAGGAAGTGATTTCTCAAGTGATAGTTATTTTTTAGGATTAGTCTGATAGTCCTTTCTAGCAATGGCCGTTTAGTTCATCCACCAATCTGTGCGGAGCTAACAATTGGATAGGACAATAACAAATCATTAACTTCCCTCCAAATTAGGGTTGTTTAAAATCGAATTGAATTAATAATCCAAACTACAAAAAGTCATTGATTTGTTGGTAATGGCTTATTGATTTAGAGGTTTCGATAATAATTTTGATTAATTTTCATATTGAATTATAGATATTTAATGGTTTGAGGGGTTTTTAACACCAGATAGTAAATTAATAAATTACATTAAAACATATAACAATCTGCCCTTTCGAAATGTTCAAATTAACTCATACCTTCAGGACAAGACTAAGAGTGATTATTAAGTTAAGAAGAATGTGGTATGACGTATTTTAATTGATTTATAGTCGTATTTTATGTTTTGAAGTCAAGTGAGTTGCAAAATAAAAGTCAGGAAAAGTTATCATAAGTTACTTCAAGAAATTCTCTGAAAATTGGATCAAATGTCTTGGAACTTTTCTCCGAATCAATAAAGAGTTAGAGGGGCCACAACTTATCAAATCTAAGGTCTACGAATCTAGTTTCCAATACATTAAACTGTTCATCCATATGACTTCATAGTAGAGAATTATTCACATTTTTGTGAGAATGTAAGGGACTGACGTCAATTCCAAGCTGCTGTAGCACCTCGACTATGTAATTTCTTTTCAGATCCAATGGTGCTTGTGGAACTGTTGTGGCGGGAACGTCCCTAGTTGTGATGCTTGCTGCTTTCTAGAGTTCGCGAGTGCACTAGAAGAAGGAGAAGAGGCGAGAGCTATACCTTCTAGAACCGAAGCAGTACAAGTAGACACATAAGGTGGGCCCAAGGTCGGTGGAAGATGTATATATCATATTACCTTCTTTACTTCTTCATTTTTCACGTTCCAGCTCTTAAGAATATAGAGAAAATCCCCCCCAAAATCTAAAAAATACTTCATAGATCCTTGTGATCTTATCTTGCAAGCTTCGTTAAAGTTGCTCTACGTTGCGAGCTCATCATTTTGGCATAGTTTACCCCGTCAATTTCATTATATAACTTTGGAGGTGTTATGGCAGTGATGTATTGGCCTTATAGAGTGCTCTTGGTGCTATTACGAGGGTGTATATCAAGGTAATAATGTTCTTTTATTGATTTATAGCTACTTTAGACCTTGGGTAGTATTTTCCGGTGAAAATTCGTATCTTTTATTGGATTATCGTGACATCTTATCTTTTTGTGTGTTGATTGTGATCATACAATGTTGTAGTATTAAGGGGGGTTCGGGCAGAAGTCTTTAGGTCACTTGAAATTGTTGAAAAATGTATGTTGAGGTTATTCCCTTCTCTTGATATGTTTCCTTAAAGCGTAGGAGCAATACAACTAGACTATTGTTGTTATACGCGTAGTCATGATTATTGGTTGTTGGCTGCTTGAGTTCCTATGTTCCTCCCTTGTCAGGATTCTTATGTTGTTAGTAACAGCCCTATATTAGACATTGCTTGGAGACTATTCATATAGATTGCTTATAGCTAAATTGCACGCCTTCGAGCTATTGAATTGTTTGTTGTTTCCCTTGCAGGCTATTGTGGCTAGCTTAAAAAATATGCCCTTTGCCTATGGAACTATGTATGACTTGTCTAAGGGGCTATTGAAACCAGTGGAAGCCTACGGGATATTTTAATTGCCTTCGGGGTTAATATGAAGCTATTGGGCTATTATGGTTACCTATGGGGTTACATTGAGGCTGTTCACTTAATTATTAGCCACTCGATTGTCTAAGAGGGCTATATGTTTATGCCTAAGAGGGCTATGTGATGACTATGGGGGCTATGTTGATGCCTAAGAGGGTTGTGATGTCTAAAGGGATACATTAATGCCTAAGAGAGTTATGTGATGCCTACGAGGCTATATTGATGTTGAAGAGGGCTACATGATGTCTATGGGGGCTATTAGAAGGTACTGATTGCCTTTGAGGTTATCTGTAAGTGTATGCTGGGCTATTGAAATGCAGTGACTGCCTACGGGGATAGAGAACTATCGATAGGGGTATATAGACTAAATTGGCACTTTCTGGGCTTATGGGGCCACCCGGCCAGGTAAATGGTCTTGTTTGTTGTGTGTACATGCCGAGCTTTTAGGGATTGGTTAGGTTGTTGTTTGATTATTTTTGTATGCTTTGCTTTAGGGGCAGGTAGGTGCTCAGGTTATCTTTGACTTTCGGATTTAGTTGCCTTCATTACTTTATAATTCTTGTGTAGTTACTATTTTACCCTTCATGCTTAACTCATTATCTCATATTGACACCCCATTGTTTGGGGGTGCTGCATTCATGCCTTCGATCTCGACAAACGACTTGATATACCTCATTAGCAACACAGTTGAGTTTCAGTAGATTGGCTAACCCTTTTTTTTTTTTCTAGAGCTTCCATAGTTATGAGGTTTGTTAGATTTTGCTGTAAATAGTTTTTGGGTAGGCCAGGGCTTATCCGGACAATATTTACTACTATTAGAGGCTTGCAGACTTTGGGTTGTATAGATGTGTGTTATCGGCTATACTGGCCTTGTTGTTTTGTCTTTTTGACAGCAACTGGTTGGCATTTTTCATATATGTACATATATTTCAGTTATATATTCCTATATATCATGATGGCAAGCTTCGTGTTACTTACTTATAGATTAATGGTGGCCTTGACGACCCACACAGGATGTAGTACTTTCTATACTATATGAATTGTTGGGATTGACTGAGTTGATTGATGTCTTATTGACAGGGGCCTTGCCGAAAATTTCATACTTTCATTTTCCACTGCCTCAATCTCTCGGTTATTCTACTAGGTACTAGTATTTGTTTTTGAGTAAGATGCAGTCTGTCAACTTATGTGCATGGTTCACTTAGTTTGTCACCTTTTTTCTAAGTGATTCTCCATGGTTCTTTTAATGTGAAATCTTAATGGTCAAATCGATAAAACGATATCTTAATGATTTTATAACGATTTAGTATTCTACAAGCCGATAAACTTCAAAATCGAACCAAATCGATCGGTATGCAGCCCTAATACTACAAATACCAATGAGGTAAGCGTTGAGGATAAAGCCGAACTTATTATATACAAATATACCTTATCATTCTAATAAAGATTTTATAATGTTAACAATTATGCATATGTAGAGAATCTAGAAAAAGAGATTCCTCCCAAATTCATTATCTAGCTAATTTTAAGAAAGCTAGAAAAGGAGGCAATTTCTCGAGTGATAGTAATTTTTTGGGTTAGTCTACCCATCCTATTTAGCAATGATCATTTAATTAGTTCATGAACTATTCCACAATCTGCATGAAGCCAACAATTATAGAGGATAATGAAAAAATTTCAATTTCATCTTGTTTAAGATTCTCTACTCAATTCTTCCCTCCAAATATTGATGAGGTGAATGATAAAGAAAATGTCGAAATTATTATATGTGAATATTCTTATTATTCTATTTGTTTATTTATAATGTTAACAATTTTACATATGTAGAGAATCTAGAAAAAAATATTGCTACCAATCTTCTCCTGAATCATTTACTTGAGAGATATTTTAATT